AGTTTAAATATATATATATATATATCAGAAATTATTGTTCTAAAATTTTCTTTATTTAGAAATTAATAAATTTGAAATTTATGTATTTTTCTCGTAGATGGTTATTAAAAATTATAATATACTTAATTTCAGCATGGCAGCAACATGTTTTGTACAGCCATTGGATCTAATAAAAAATCGCATGCAATTAAGCGGTACAAAAACAACAACAATAAATGTTACATCATCAATCTTAAAAAATGAAGGTGTTTTAGCATTATACTCGGGTTTATCTGCTGGCTTAATGCGGCAGGCTACATATACTACCACTAGACTTGGTATATATACTTGGCTTATGGAACTTTCTTCGTAAGTTATCTTTGTATAATCTAGATATATCCTATAATAATTATAAGTGTATCAAAGAATTGTATTGAGAGGTAAATATGTTACGAAAATACATTTGACTTATTTAGAAAAGAAGCTCAACCAAGTTTCATTGTAAAAGCACTACTTGGTATGGTAGCTGGTTGTGTCGGAGCATTTGTAGGTACACCTGCCGAAGTAGCTTTAATTAGAATGACAGCAGATGGAAGACTGTCTATTGGTAAATTTTCATTCTTTTATATAATGCAATTATTATACATACTGTATATATATACACATATAGCTAAATTGTTATAGAATTTAAATATTTTTAATGTTTTAAATGCAGCTGAAAGACGCAATTACAAAAATGTGTTTGATGCGTTATTTCGTATAATTAAAGAGGAAGGTCTTTTTACATTATGGCGCGGTGCCATTCCTACTATGGGTCGCGCTATGGTTGTAAATGCAGCACAATTGGCATCGTATTCTCAGGCAAAACAAGCATTGTTAGATACAGGTATGCATTGTAGAAATATTAAATAAATGTTATGTACATATATATATAATTTAATGAAAGTTATCATTTATGCTTGTTTTAATCTGCTCTTTTTTTCTTAAATAGGATATTTTAAGGAAAATATTGTACTGCACTTTGCAAGCTCAATGATCTCTGGTTTAGTCACCACTGTTGCCTCCATGCCTGTAGATATAGCTAAAACAAGGTAAATTATTGATAATGAAATTATATTTAAAATTCAATTAATTGATATTCTCTTAATTCAAACTCTTGCATTATTTTTTTTTTAGAATTCAAAACATGAAAACAATAAATGGCAAGCCAGAGTTTACGGGCGCGATTGATGTTCTGACCAAAGTCGTAAGAAATGAAGGATTGTTTGCATTGTGGAAAGGATTCTTCCCATATTATGCACGTCTGGGACCTCACACAGTTTTGACATTCATTTTCCTAGAACAAATGACCGCTTCTTATAAAAACTACCTGACATAATTACAATTGTGTGCTTTTGAAAAGTTTTATTAATGAGTCAAAAAATTGATGACAATTTTTTTTTTTTTTTTTTTTTTTTTCCGTTTTTTTTGTTTTTTTTAGAGAAACATTATTTTTTTAATAAATATATTTTTGTAGTATATGTTTACTGTGAAAGATTATG